TGAGACTAGAGGGCGTTTTATTCTTTCTTTGGTCCTGTTGCTTTTGTTGCAGTCTCTGTTTCTAGGGAACTCTTTTCAGGTGCTACAGAGTTCTGCAGATGAGAAAAACAAACTCTACTCTCAAATGACCATGGAGGAGGTGACCGTCAGCCGAGAGAAACAATGGACATATTCAGAAGCAAAGGTTGGGCAGACGGCATAAAATTGGGATGTTCAGGTTGAATCTGTTTAGAAACAAGGTCTTGATTACAGCAGAGACTAATGACATCATGACCAGCATAACCTAAGTCTTAAATACTAAAGATCTTCTCCCTTTTTTTTGTTTTATATTTTATTCCTTTTCATTTGTTTTTGAGATTAATATAATTACATTATTCCTACCTTTCCTTTCTTTCCTTCAACCTTCCATAAACCCCCTCCTGACTGCCATTCAAATTCATGATCTCTTTTTCATTAATTGTTATTACATGCACATGTATAGATGATGTTCTTTGGTTAAGAGGAGTAAAGCTGGTGGGAGGCGAGAGCGAGCAGGCTGGACCAGCAGGCCCTGGCGATTAAACAGAATATGACAGACAGAAGAGAACGATATCTAGACTGAAAGATTGCTCTCAGAAAGGTTTCATAAATATAAAGTCATGTTTTCTAGAGATCCTGGAAGCTTGCAGCAAGATAGTAGGTTAGGAGGAATACATTCGGAGGCAGGAAGGTCAGTTAGATCCCATTCCAGCAATCAATTTAAGGATAATGATGAGAATGGATAGGAGGGAGAGCATGGAGGACACAGCAAAGCTGGAGGAAGGGAAATGGATGATCGTTCTCTTGACAGGTCCTAACTGCACCATGTAAAGTTGGGAAGATTAACAGCTTTAACTGATTCAGCCAGCCAGCAAGTGTTGGGGTTGAGAGTAAAACTCAGGACTGTCTGATATTGACACAATCCTACAACACTGTTTAAGGGCAGACACATCAAAATACAGAAGCGATGGGCCTTGGAAACTGGTCATCTGTGTGGGAAAAGGTGGAGAATGAGAATTGAGACAGTAGCAGGCTTTGTGGCATGGAGAACAAGGTAGAAAATGAGGACATTAGCCTCCCAGGTGATGCCAGGATAAACAGCAGATCTGTATTTAAGACGGACATGAGGACAGCCAAAAATAACTCTCAGATCACTGGGGACAAGTGAATTTTAAGCAGTGGGGGGCATGTACAACCCTGATTTTCTGAATTGCCCAGGCTTTGTGTTGAGGTCTGGGGTGAAGTGGAAGACCTTGGGGTGTGGCAAAGCTGAGTGTGTGCCTGGGGCCTGTCTTAGTAAGTATACTGGCCAAGGACCACAGGCATGGAACCTATTCCCATTGCACTGAGCCTTTTCCTCTGGAGCGGGGAGATCGCCCTGACCAACACACACACTGAGACTGCGGAGAGCTGTGAAGGCCCTTCAGGAATTCCTGAGTATGATCTGGCCAATTCTGTGAGTCTGATTGCTCCACAGTATCCCTGAAACACTGTTTATGATCCCAAGAAGAGCCTGGTATGTGTCCTGCTAAGATCCACTTGCTGCTATTTTAATAAAACCTGGGATGTTACAGAGTGTAGCCTCTTTCTTTTCAGTCGATTCTGTACCCCATCTTACATTGCCTCTTCTCTCCTCTTCAGGAATCCAGGGTCGCTTGCCCATGACACTCCATCACTGTCCTTTAAACTCTGTGAGGTCGATGCTGCTATAGGACCTCTGCTAGGTGCTGAGGCCACAGGATGGACATAACGCAGTGAGGCATCTGCCCTGACTCTAATCCCACAGTGCACACCCACCATTTCCTCTGGGCGCCTAGCTCATGCCTGTCCTTTCTTCAGAAGGTGTTCATACTTCTGTCTGCTCTTTGGCTTGAAAAGAACTTCTAACTCTAGCAAGTAGGAGAGAGACACAAGAGGGGTGGGGACTCGGGGAAGGGGCTCTACTCTGTGTCAGATCCTGTAGAGACATTATTATACTTAATCCCCAACCTAACTGTGGGAAATAGGTATTAATCACTCCTATTTTACAGATGATGATGATCCAAAAGCCTAAAGAAGCCAAATCCTTTGCCCAAAGCCACACAACGAGTAGAGGCGAGCAGGGATTCACACTTAGACTGATTTAATTTACTGTTCCTGCTAAGCTGTTTCTCCCTCATTCTCTCTGATCCTTCAGCCTTATCAGTTGGGCACGGGTCTTCGGGGGAAAGACTTCAGTTGCTGATGCCCTTATGGTACTCAGGAGGCAGCAACTATGACACAGTAGGCTCAGTTCCTCCTGTCCAGAAGGCTGGGCTGATAAGGAAACTGCTAGAATAGCTACCCTAGAGGCTTCTGGTAAGAGCCCTGTAAGACCACATTACTAAGCCTCCAAAGGCCTGGAGAGAGCTGGAAGCATGTGCTGAATGGGCCCCATTCCCAGACCCTGGCTTTGAAAGACCCTGGAGTTCAAGATTTCACACAGGCATTCAGGAGTGAGAGATGGGAAGGGGCCCCTCTGCAGCAGCTGCTAGGAAGGTAGGTCTAGCATCTCTCCATGGCCCTCTATGCCTGGCAACCTACATGTTGCCCTCTTCTCTCAGTTTCTACCAGGTCTAAATAGTGTCATGGTTTGCACTACTCTGTTTCCTGGTGTGACCAGACCTTACCTGCCGATCAGACAAGTGGAAGAAGTTTGTTGTGGAGTAGTGTGGATCCAGGTTCATGAATCCAAGTGAATGCAAAGAAAGGATTTTGTCCCTGGAAAATGCAGCAAGTGCACTTACCTCGTGAGTCTTCCAAGTATATCCAATAAGGAAGTGGATTTGGAGGCATCTGGCCCCACACCTGGCACATGACATACATTCACCAAAGCATTTGGTGAATCTATGACTCCATGCCTAACAATTGTTGATCTCCCACCTCCCTGCTTATTTCCGCTCTTTCTGTTTAGAACAATGAGCTGTGATTCTCCAGGGAAGGCCTTGGGTTTGTCACTGAGGCACACTGACAAGACACGAGCTTGTCTTATGCCCGGTCTGCTGTCCCTGTTGGAAAGGACAGGGAATGTGCCCAGCTGAAGGAGTCTCCTGTGCAAGGCAATGGCACCCTAAGGCGGGTGATCTGCCTCCAGGGCTGTGGGCCCTGGCATCTGGGAAACTGGGAGTTTGCAGCTCCTTGGCTGCAACTTTGGAGAGCAAATGCGCATGCTTTTGCGGTTCAGCGCCTCTGAAATAGAGAACAAAGCTTCTCTTGTCCCCCATCCCCGCCCCATGACGAGTGGGTGAGAATCAGCAGAGACTAGCGCCCCCCTTTCTTTCCTGCATAGTTGTCTCATTTTCCTTGTCAGAAATGCACCGGATTGGGGTCGGGTCTACCCATGTGTGATTCTAACCTGGGACAGAAAAAAGGCCAGGTTACTGGAGAAGATTGGCTAGATGTGATGGGTGGACTGGAAGTCTCGGTCTGGCTCACCTGTCTGTTTGGTGATATCTTCCTCTTCCACACTGAAAGCTTTTCTTCACCAACTTGATGGCATAGGTATGACCTTATCCAAGGGCACTGTGGAGGAAGTGATCATCTGGCCAAGACCTCAAGCAAGGACACTGACAACACCTGGACAGTCTTTTCTTACCTGTTTTGTCAACACAGAGACCCCTGCAAGCCTGTAGTCTACCTTATAAGTACCTTTTCCCCTCTAAGGAATGCTAGACATCAGTGTGGTAAACATGCTATAATTCACAGATACTTAAATTCCTGTGTCTGGTGTTTAAAGATATTGAATAGTGTAAACTCCATTATCTGACAGAAATGTAATCTCCTGCCTCACGCCATTTCTTTCCAGAGCCCCAGATGAGGGATGATGCTGTCGAGCACCCAGCTTCAAATACAGCATCCCTCTAAAGACAGTGACGTGACCCTCTTTCTCCATGAGAGGCATCCATTCTTCCTCTGAATTCCGCTGATAATGAGGAGCTCACTACTGACTGATGAACGCTTAAGTTCATCAGATCTTCACCACCGTTAGAGTGAGATGGGTGTTGCTATTGCTATTTTACAAGTTGCGAGAACTGAGCTCCACGGAGGTAAAATGACTGTTCCGTGTTACACCGATGTTGAGACATAAAACCAGGGTTTGAATTTGGAATTAGGTCCTGGACTGCCTCTCTCCAAGTTTTAATCTGGGTTCTAATTAGCTGAGAGGCTTTTAAAGATGCAGCAGTCATGTATGGTCACAAAACATGGACATGGAAGAAAGTAGGTCTAAGCTACAATCTTATTTTATGCCTCTTGTCCAAGTAGAACCCAGCCATGATAAGCTTAACAGAAGCCTGAGTCTTGGTAGTTTTCCCTGAGGCGATACCTGGTTTCAAGAAAGACCATAAACTGAGACTACCCAGGTACCACCCGGGAACAGACCATCCAAAGGAAATTCCTAATGTTCCAAATATTGTAGATAGGATCACCTGCCAGCACGTACCCATCGCTTTTCACCAGGACACCCTTAGACAAGCAGGAATGAACCTGTCACCCCAAAGCCTGCTAATGTAACTTTTCTAGATTTTGCCTTTAAATAGTGCTCTCTAGAAGGGTGGGGTACCTCCTCTGGCTGCTGTGCTGACCAGCTTGTACACATGCATGATAATAAACCTTGCTTTTGCATTTTGGTGAGTTGGTCTCCCTGCTGGTTTTTTGGGGGGTCCCCATGGACTGGGTACAGCAGTCCACAATACCTAAAGTGATGCTATTATTTGCAAAACTGCCTGAAGGTGGTCATGTTGAGCCAGGTGCATTCTCAAGCTCCCCAGAATTCTGACAGAGGAACTAGAGAGAGTTCAAGTCTGACCATTCTTCTGCATCTTGACAGAGCCCCTGATCTCCAAAAGATTACCTCTAAAATTGGGTTTGGCTGGTTGTCCTCCAAGAGTAGGAAATCAAAAGGGAAGGGCGCCAAGAACACTCAAAGGAACAGAGGTGCTGCACAAACCACTTTATTTGGGAAATAGAAACCCAGGAAGGTTGCTATATATACAATGGAACATTCATAGCAAACTAACATATGGTTCTTTGTTACCATTTCGGAAAACCAATATGCGAAAGAGAAAACAAGCTTTGCTCTTGATTTTTTGCAATAAACTTTGAAAACCTCCGTGGCAAACGCAAAGAACGTTTAACTGGAATTGTGTGCTGAAGGCCCCAGCTCCCTGGAGACTCCCTCCCTCTGCCTATCTCCTAATCCTCATTTCCGGGAGGTCATTTTAATTAGCAGGCTGCCATGGTGACTCAGCCTGCTGCTTCTCCAGACAGGAAGGGAGTGGACTCCCCTGGACCCATTCATCACACAAAGGCACTTTAAGCTTCAGGAAAATGCACACTATTTGGCTTGCACCGCCTTGGGGATTGCTTCTGCTGTCATTTTCTTTTCTCACTCCTACCTGCCACGGTGCATTTCTTTGTCTCTTGCAGTCCCCTTACCTGGTAGTCACCCTGTCCCTAGTGCAGATTATCACTGCTCACCTCACCTGATCCTTGTCAGCAGGGACTGCAGACCTTAGCCACAGTAGTTCTCCGGAAGGAGTGAGCAAGGCTTTTTGTCTGGGGAGCTAGAATTTCGATTAAACTACCTGGGAAGTTGAGAAATGGCTTTCAGAACAGCTTTCTGAAGTTGCATGCTGGGGCTTGAGGGAGTGAGCGAGCGTGAGGCTTATAGATACGGTGACCATGCTTCTGAGACCACTCTGGGTTTAAACACTCTGCCCCATTGTTCACAACAGCCTGTTTGCCTTTGGCGTGCATGTGTGTAGCTGTTGCTTTGGCTCAGAAAATATGGAGACTGAATTCCTAACCTAGAAACAATGGCAGCCTGTTTTAAGTGAAGTCACCTGCGCAGTGACTATACAACTTTAAAAGGTAAAGAGGGGCTTATGGGGAACCAGCCTGAGACCTGTGGGACCTCTTGAGAGGAGTGTGTGGGTTTGCCTCTGTGCTGTGGAAGATAAAGTCTGTGCTCACTCCACTCTCCTACTCCACTCAGCCTTGAGTTGACGGCTCACAATTGATTTCCCATTGGGAAAATTGAAAAATCAAAGATAAAATTCCTCTCTTTCCCCGCTCCCTTTCACTAGCATGTGCAATGTGTTGAAAACTCCTGTCTTGGAAACCAGGGAGTGGCACTGAATTTCGTGTCCCTACAGGAAATTCATTTTCCTGCACCCACAGTGCTTCCAGGTGCCATGTCTTTAAAAGGGGGTTGAAGGGTCTTTGTGGTTCAGTGAGCTCTTCTTGTCCCCCTTGCTGCTGGGGACATTGCTGGCTGAGCCCCGCAGGGACAGGTGCTTGTAAGGAGGGGGGGTTTCTTTCCTGCAAAAGGGAAACAACAGAAAGAGAAGACAGCCCATATACACACTGCAACCAGTCCACTTGTTAGCATGTCCATCTCCCATGCTGGACAGGGACCTCCTAGGTACAGCGGGCTTGCCATCTTTTTCTCTATGTCCCCAGAACCCAGTCCAGGTCTGGAATAAAGCAGGCATAGGAGCTCAATGAATGACTGTAGGATGGATGACTGGCCAGCCGATGGATGGAAGGATGCATGCATGCATTGCTTCATTTTAGGCCTAGAGAAATTTAGCTCTCCTACAGCTCCAATCTGATTATCTTGTCACTTGGACTCCAACTAATTCAACATTACACATGAGAAGGGAGTGGGAACACAAAGAAAGCTATAATTTGGAAATTTGGAAGGAGGCCTGTCTTGGTGTCCTATGGGCTTGGGAAATTCCTTTTGAATGAAAGAGAGAGAGACAGAGAGAGACAGAGACAGAGAGAGAGACAGAGAGAGAGAGCGCGCGACAGAAGAGGAAGAGGAGAGGAGAAGAGTAAAAGCACAGAGAGCACTTGGCAGGCTGGCCTGGGACATCATTCTCTCATCCCTGCATGACCACCAAGGACTTTAGAATCCTAGTTTTATTATTCAGCCTATCACAGCAACTCCTAATATCTGTCTTCCTAGGATGCTTGGAGATTTCAGCGTGTCTGTTTTACCTTTATGTCCCCACAGCCAGCACCCAACACAGTAATATTACTACCATCAGTCAGTGATTTTGTTCACATAAGAGATAATGAGCTCTCGTGGAGCACGAACGATTTTATTCACTGTTGCATTTTACCTTATTCCGTACCTTATTTGTTATATTTTTGATGGACAAATTGATTTATGTAGTCACCGGATTTAAGATTTATTCCCAGTGGGAAGACTGGTGTTAATTTTAAGCCTCAAAGAACTGCTCTGAATTCCCAAGTTGCCTGAATTCAAAAGTGTGGCCTTGGGCAAGAAATTGAACTTCTCTAAACTTCATTTGTACAATGAGGATAAACTATCCCAGTCTTCCAGCAGAGTGGTGAAGTTAAATTAGATTGTGAGTGAGTACCCCTAGAAGCTTCTCTTTCCTGCTACAATTTGTTGACTGTGGCCCCAGAGTCAACATGCCAAAGATACAGACACCAATGCTGTCCTCAACTTGTTTCGGCTTAGTGGAGTCCAGAACTGTGCAAAACAACTGATCAAATTGAAGATTATAGCATGAAGTCAGAAATGAAGCAGGCTGTTTGAATTAGGATTGAAGATGTGTCTTGTGGCTGCTGTGCTCTGACTTTGGCACGATTGCTTTTAGTCATGGTAGATGAGTCACAAACCTAGTGAAAGTGGAGTCGGTGCCAGTTCACGTACAGTGGACACCTGGCCTTGACAAACCTCCCACCAGTCTCAGTGCCTGAAAACGGATGTTCCTTGAAGATCTGGCCAATGTGAGGAGACTGTTTACTGCAGGTGAGATGAGCCTAGATCCCTTTCTTCTTAACATTCTAGTCCTACAAAGCTCATGCTTGGACTGCTATCTACAGACAGTGTGATCTTTTCTGGTTTGTTTTGTTTGTTTGTTTGTTTTTTCAGCACTAGTGGCAGAAGCCAGGGTCTCACACATGGTACTCAGTTGCTATAACCATCTCCGCCGCCCGAGACAGTATGATGTTACAAGAGTCCCTGTCTAGAGGTAAGAATCTATTTTGTTCTTTTCCAAACAGCAGAAGAATGCCTGTTCTTCCTGCCTCGTAGACTCTGGTGAAAGGAGAGCTGGAGAAGTGGTACCTAGATTACCAGGTGCCATCCATCCACAGATCCCTGGCGAGAGTAGTTCTTCTCACCTCAGAGGGGCAGAGGACACAGGACAGATATGTTTTCATAGGACAAAGAGGATGGAAGGTCCCTAGAGAGACAAGCTTGGGTTTATTGTTACTAACACAGACACAGGCAGATGGGGTGACTGGAAAGGCAGGGTGTCTCTGTAATTATAGATGAGGATCCAGAGAAGGAAAGGAGGTCCTAAACAGCAGATGGCTCACACCTCTGCTCCCTCCCCTATTTCTTTAGATTCATCTGCTTTAGAAGCCAGGCTTCTACGGTTCTTTGGTCACCACTTAATACCTACGCCACTATATCCTGGGGAGTTGCACACCTATGTATGTCATAGAACTTTGAGTTTGATGTGTTTGGTTTTATTCTCTAATTCCCAAATCAGTTTTGGTGTGGAGCAGGTGCTTCTGGGCTGAGTGGCAAATGCAAGGGACTTTGAGTCTTATGGTTATCCTGACTTTACCTCTTCTCTAGCCACACTGGTCTCACCATTGCTGCAGGCTTTCTTGAGTCCTGCTTCTTTTTGCTTTTCCAACTTGGGTTAGCATAAGTTTCTTTCTACTCCCTCAATCTCAACTGTTCATGTCCTTAAAAAACCAAGTCCAAGTCGGGTAGTGGTGGCGCACACCTTTAATCCCAGCACTCAGGAGGTGATAACACCCTCTAAAGGTCAAAGAGCTTGGTGGGGGGCGGGGGCTTAGCATCCTCCATCAAGTTCTACCATTGTATAGTCAGTTGACGTCATAGACATTATTTAGGTCTTAACATATACAAGCTCTGCGCCATGTACTAAGGATTGAAGAATGAGGCTGTCCAGTGGAGAAACCGGTCCTGCAGAGATGCCAGACAAGACAGCATAGGGTATGTGTATGGAATGTAACTAGGAGCCCAGCTGAGGAAACGGCTCTGTCTTACGCAGGAAGAGGAACAGAAAAACACAATGTGACATTTGGATAAAGTTTTAGTGAGTTAGTAGGAATTCAGCATCTACAAAATGAAAGGATGAACAAAATGAAAGGGTGAACAAGTTATAGCAGTGTAAAAATGGATGTGCTTAGGCTGATGCATATGGCAGGAGCCATGAGTGAGATTATATCTGCTATGTAGCTATGTATACTCACTGTACACAGCTAAGTATTGCTGTATTTTGCATGTTATCAACTGGAGCTCCTTTAGGACTCACCACAGGCCTAGCACAGGATGTGCTCCTTATATACATATGTCATGACGTCACTATGTAGCAGTCAGGGCTCCTGGCCCGTAGTAGAGCCTGAGTCTACTTGATCAAGGCCAGCTTACCTCTGTGTTCATGTTCTGCCTCACCTACTGAAGTATTCTTGGTCCACTCGTTTTTCCCTGTCCAATTTTATCCCCTTTGGTTTTAGCTCTTATAGCTGTGACACCATGATTGAAAATAAATGTAGGGTCTCAGCTTTCCTAATCAAGGCGGAGCTGAGCTCCCATGCCCACATTGCCGCCTCTCCCCAGGACTTCTTCCTGAGGGGCGGCCCAGCACCCCAGAATGCCAACAGGCTTCCAGCAGCATACGGGTAGAAAGTGACATATGGCAATTATCCATGGAGATGGGGGAAACAAAGATTAATTCTGAGTCAAAACATGTAATTTTCCTTTACAACCAGAGCTGCTCTTTCACTTACGCCATTTGATGCTTGGGTGGAAAATAATACAAAACGGGAAGCATTCAGATTCAAACAGGAGCCTACAGTCCTGGGAATTCATTCTTTAAGGCTTGCTTACCAGTCTGGAGTTGAGTGCAGCACCCAGGGGATCACCCAGGCCCAGAAGGAAGGGCAGGGGGCAGTAGGGAGCTAATTTGCTTTTCTTAATTTATAAGTGGGTGTGTTTGCATCAACTCTTCAAGTCTGGCCTAGTGAGGAAAGAAGTCTTTGCAGAAGAGAACATCAAAGCTCAGGATCAGGGATGCCATGGGCAGTTGAAAGCAGGGGCTCTTGGGAGGAAAACAACCCTGCATCAATTTAACTCAGTTTCAAGCCCCCTCCCAATCTGAAAGAACCTCTCCGAACTGAGCCTGAGTATCCCACAGGCTCCAGCTCTGGACCTTAACACCCCTTCTGTTCCCTAGGTCTCAGTGTCCTCTCATGTCATGCTCACTGATGTACCCCCAAACTGTTAGTACTACTTCACTGACCTGTGACCATGACACAGACAAGAAGGAAAAAAAGCGGTGAAGGATGAAGATAATTTTTATGCAGGCTGACAGAGGACCCAAAAGAGATAAACCCTAAATTAACTTGTAAATGAGATGCTAAGAATTCTTTTGAGTTTTACAAAGCTTTAAATGTTTAAGAACTTTGGCCAATCAAGAGTGACTCCTAAGAAAGAACTGAGCACTTTCCTCCAGAGGTGAGCTCCTCAAAGGCAGGCAGGGTCATACCTTAATCCCCAGCTCACCCCATACCTCCCTCCCACCAGAGCCGGCTGCAATGTGCTGTCTTCTGTAGGTTTATGAGTGATGGAATGGATGGATGTATCCATGCAAGTGTGTGCGGGGCAGGCTAGTACTGCAAGGAAATAGAGAAGGAACAGACACAGTCCTCATGCAGGGGTTTTTAATACCCCAGAATGGTGGACAGAAAGTCCCCAGATGACCTGGTCCCAATCTGAGACAGGGTGTCGTTTGAGCATGCAGCCATGAAGACTGTGTGGATCAGGCCTTAGAGAGATACAACTCACTGAATTATGGAGCCTGGGCCAGTCCAACCAGGTAAAGTCACAGGACTTGTCACAGGCTATCATTAGCTGGCAGAAACTGGAAACTGTGAAAACATTCAGAGGCATCTATTGTGTGCTAGGCGTTGTCCTAAGCTTGTGCCTAATCTTCAGAACCATATTAAGTGGTTGCTATTATTTCTGTTTAATAGGAAGGTGTAGAAAGGTTTCAAGAGGTCAAGAAACATCGCTCATGAGTGCCCAAGACAGTGCTCTGATGGAGCTCTATTGCAGGAGAGTTCAGATGGTTTTAGAATATGAAACCCTGTCTGTGCTGTAGAACCTGTGACTTCAGGCAATCTTCTGGTCCCTTCTGGGCACGAGACATACATGGACTAAGTACACAAAGTACTTCATACAATACATAACGCTGACTTATATTTTTTTATTGTTAATAATAGGTGTTGGAGGAAGAGTCACTGTGCTAAGCTCCCGAGGCACCGAGAAAGACAGCGAACATCAGTGGAAAGAATGATCTGGCAGGAGTAGAGAGTTGGACACTGCCACGTCATTCCAGGAGCCTGGACCACTAGGGGAACAGGAGAGGAGGCCCAGAGGTACGGCAGTGCTAGCACAATCCAGATGCCTCTGGATGTCACTGCCCAGATGCTCAGTGAGGGCTCTACCAGCACACATGGGAATGCCCAGAACTTCCCGCTGCTGTTCAGCCCTCAGCCAAGATGGATGCTCCAATCCCTGTCTTCTCTCCTCCTTGGATCTATAAGTGAGTCCATCAGAGGAGCAAGATGGGACTTCTTAGGGGTGTGTCCTCTGTACCCCAAACCTTCAAGCATTAAGGGAAGGGGACTATCATCGACTGACAGAATACTCATACACCTGGTACTAGTGTTTGAATGTAAAGCCCACAATAACCTGAAAAGAATCTACAAGCGTGTCTGATTTATAAACTGGAAGAATGAGGAACTGGAGTTCATTTGGGAACCTTAGAGGATGAGTGATCATGTGGGGTGGGATATGTAAGTAGCCAGGCTAACTTAGATCTCGGCTGATCATGGCTCCTTAGCAATGCCCCATCTCTGGCGATTCCTAAGATGGGCCTGAAATGAGATGGCCCACCATGCAAGACTATACTGCCATGCAGCCTGTGGATTGGAGCTCAGAGATGCAGTCTGCTGCAGTGTGGGCCCTGAGGCATCATCCAGCCTGACCAACCCGGTGAGTCAAGGTACCGCCTTGCCCTGGACCATGGGAGGCCGTTTGGCAATCTGTGCTAACATCTCAGAAGCTGAAGGAGATGAAGCTAAGTGAATGCCTCAGTGTAGACAACACCTTCTGGGCCCTTACTGATTCTTGTGATAGAGCTGGGATTGCACTTCCTGTGGCACAGGTGGCAAACTGAGGGGCATCAGAAAGCAAAGAGAAGCTTCCCTGAACACAGACCTAGGGAAGCAGGACCTGAGCCTGATTGCTTGGCTCTAACACTTACCGAAGCCTCGGTATGGGGACTGTCATCCTATCAACCAAGGGACTCAGCCGGTAATAATCTAGAAATGTTCTCGCCACATTTCTTCCCAGTTTCATATCTGCAGATGTGTGTTAAGGAGCAGCTTTGAAAAGAGACTGAGCAGGGTGAGAAGAGGCCTAGTTATAAATAAATAAATAAATAAATAAATAAATAAATAAATAAATAAATAAATGTACAAATAAAGCAATGGTAAAGATAGTGTCATTGCTCCCCACTCTAGGGTTTTAGCGTGCATTGTCTTTTTGGTCCTCACAAAACCTTCAGTGGTAAGTATGATCCTCATTTCACAGACAAGAAACTAAAATGAACAGAACAGAAGTAAAGGTGGGGAGTGGACATTGGGGTCTAAGTAACCATACCTTAAAATCTGTGCACCTAGCTTTTAAGTATACTGGGCTTTTTTAGTCTGGCCTCAAGTGGTCCAGAATGAAGACTTATGAACATGTCTGAAAGCCAAGAGACCCTTTGTTTCATACAGAACAGGTTTTGCCTGACCTTCTAGGACTAGGCATCTCTCTTGAGAGTAATTTCAGGAAAGCTCCCAGACTCTAAATAGAATTCCATTTCCCCTTGCTGTTTGACAAATAGTGGAGTTCTAGGGTATAGATTGGTAGTCTATTTATTGAATCACAAATTCCCCCAGGGAAGGAGAAAGCTCCAGTTCTATACTGGTATTAACATCCTGGGATCAATTAATACAACAACTGTGTATCTGCTTTATGCATGATAGCCATATTTCTGGGCTCTCTGCTATTTCCTTTGCCCGAAGGGCCTTTCTAACTCTCCCTTAGCTAATATGCAGTATGAAGAGGTAGCCACTACCTCTTCATTAGATTTTCCTGGATCTTCCCTGCTGTCATCCCAGGGCTGAGAGTATTGCCCTTGCTCCCTAACACCATGGCTTAAGAACTGACCTCACAGGGTAGACATTAAGTGTTTACTCACAGTGGTTCCTCCACCCCACCCCCATCAGCTACAAACACCCAAGCTGTCAACCTTCCCCATGAGACTTCTCATCTCTTGATTTCATCTACCTCTCTCCATTCCCCAGAATAGGTCAGCATCACCTTTTGCCTGGACAATTGCCATCTTGTTCACTGGGCCTCCTGTCCCAGAATTGCCCTCTCTGGGATGCTTTCAATAGTGACGTCAGGGGCTGTATTCTCTATTGCAGACTCCATAGTGTTACTCATTGACTAAAACCCTCAGTGTCTTCCAGTTGCTGTTCAGAGCTTGGCCCTTGGTTATGTTCTCAACTCTCCTCTTGTTACCTCCTGCCTCCCATCCCTTTGCAGTTCCTACCCTTCTAATCCTGTAACTCCTAGGTCTTTGTTTACTGTGTAGCCCAGTTAGACCATCATGCCAAGCATGCCTTATAGGACCAGATCCTTCCCAGCCTCCAGACTTCCATTCAGTTCTCACATTAGTGGGCATATCCTTCTCGGTGCCTTTGCTGGGGACAGGGTCCTCCTAGGTCTTCCAAGGTATCTTTGCATAGTTCTCTGCCAGTCAGACTACTCAGAAATACTGAATGTCAACCAGTCCTTCTTTGTGATAGCTCCTCTTGTCTATACAATCTACGGGGAAGAGGTCAATTTTGCTTGACTCAATCATCTAAATACCTATGTGCTTACCTGGCAGTTGTAAGAAAAATAATGAATAGTAACACCCAATAGCTAAGTAGCTATTATTAATATGTGCTAGGCCACCTCATGACAACCCAGTGAGGGGGGAGAAGGCTATTACTGTTCCTATTGCTCAGACAGGGTAAGTGACTTTCCCTAAGGCTACATACTTTACAGATGCTGAAATTGGGATTTAAACCCAGGCCTTGGCTCTCTGGGACCTACACCATTTTACATTTGCATCTACCTTTTTCCTACCTAATAAACCACTGGAGCCCTACTTGTCTGGTGGAGAAGATTGACAGCACTGACCCAGGACTAACGGAGCTGAGGGTACAGGTGACATGCACAGTAGCAGCACCCCGGGGCTGCTAGTCCCAGGGAGTCTCTGGGGAAGGGCTGCTCCTAGCCGAACTGTAAAGACAGGACAGCTGAAGAGGCCTTCAGACAAGAACACAGAAATGGTTTTCCATTCACACATACATCTGCACAACATTTTCTTTATCTGTCTTGGGCTGTGATAGGCGAAGGAACTTATCCAATGCCATGTAGCCGATAATGGTCAGACCAGGAGTCAAATCTGGGTAGGTCTGATTCCAGACTATGAGTTTCCACTGCCTTGGACTGTTTCTCAACTTGAAGGCACCTTTTCTGTCAGAGCCTGAGTCATCCCAGGTCAGAACATGGTGGGAGGAGGAGAAACAGTAGGTTCGTTGTTTACGACAGCGAGCTGCACTGCAGGCTTGCTGTGCTCTGAGACTGCTACCTGCTTTCTTTCCCTAGATGTGTCTGACCTTCTCTGTCCCCTTCTCTGAAAAGTTCACAAGCTGGCACTGAGCATGGCCTCTCAGACTAGCAGCCCCCAGAGGGTGTCTCGTGGCCAGGGCCTGCAGAGGCAAGCTGGCTGCTTGAATCCAGACAGTCTCTAGTTGGCACAGAGACCAAATCGTGGTTATGCGTGTTGAAAGGAATAGCTGCAGGGCATGGGAGAAATGAGGTCCCTGTGGACTGAGCTGGTAAGCTGCAGCAGACATTTTTGGAAACAGATGTGTCCAACCCAAATCCTGGTTCTGCCACATGCTATGGAGAGCAGATTTTAATTTCCAAAGATGTCTGCAGCGTTGTCTCTGGTCTCACAAGCTCCTCCAGGATGACCTTGATACTCCTCCCACTGAAAGGCACGGTCCTTGTTCTTCCCGCTCAGAGTCTCGCAGACTTTAAACTGGCTGAGAACCAAAAGAACGACACGAGTGGAAGTGACATTGTGAGACTCGCAGGGCAAGGTCGGCTACAGCAAAGGAAACGAACCTTGTGTCATGGCGTGCTCAAGCGAGGGTCCCGAGCTCACGGATAAGCAGACTGAGCACCCCAAGGTCCCGGGACTAGGCACAGAAACAGAGGCTAGACTCTTGAAGTGAAGGTCAGCCTCCACTTCTACAGCATGCTGTCATTCCAGCCCCAGCCACCCACTGTTTTCCTACAACTGAAGCAGACTCCATAAAAGACCCTCCCACTGAGACCCATCCAAATGTCTGACCCACAGAGAACATGAAAGGACAGCTGATGTGGGATGTCCTTCTGCACATGGGCTGCTTTATTGGTTGATGAATAAAGCTGCTTTGGCCAATGGCCTAGTAGAGTAAAGCCAGGCAGGAAATCTGAACAGAAATATAGAGAGAAAGTAGGCGGAGTCAAGGAGACACCATGTAGCTGCCGAAGGAGAAGGACAGCAACTAGAGCCTTACCCAGTAAGCCACAGGCTTATGGTGGTACACAGATTAATAGAAGTGGGTTGATTCAGATGTAAGAGTTAGCTAGAAATATGCCTGAGTCATTGTCCAAACAGTGTTGTACTTAATATGGTTTCTGTGTGATTAGTTGGGTCTGAGTGGTGGGGAAATCAATGAGATACAATGCTACAAATAGCATTGTTTTAAGCCATAAATTTTAGGGGAAGGGTGTTTAACAAAGAAATAGAGAACTCGCACAGGCCACTCCATCTCTCTGAGCTTTTATGTATTTGTCTGTGAAATGCCTGCTTCACAGATTTGCTGGGCTGCAGTGGGTGGCTGGATGTAGTTGGCGAGTGGCATAGGGCTGACTGAATGGTGAATGAATGAATGAATGAATGAATGAGGGAAAGAGAAGCCTCATCTCTTTCTTACTGTCTATACTAAAAGGTAGACCCGAGGTACCACAAAAGTAGTTGCCTTGCTCACCAACACCCTTGAATATCTACAAATTGGGCTGTTCCACAAAGCCGGAGCTAATCACTTTGGATGGGCTCTGTTGCAAAGGCAATTTTCAAGGTGGTTCTCATCTAGGAAAGACCTGGTTCCCTTTCCCCCTCCATCCGCAAAGCCTTATTCACTCCAGAGTATTTCTTACACTCACCCTGACTGAGTGAAGGAGCAGGACAAAGGTGAAGGAGAGTAAAGATTGATTGAACATTTTCAATTAAAATACGATGTCTTAGAAGACAGATTTAAGATCCAGGTAAAGAGAAGCAATAGTTTTTTTGGCTGGGCCATTTTCAATATATTGATGTACTCAGAGAGGAAAAACTAGGGTGAGAGCTCTTGGCCATTCATTATCCACAAAAATCTTGGGATAGTTTTGTATGCTTATTTTTTCTCACCCTCAAGTTTAATCCATCGGTCTGTTTCTTATAGACAGCAGGGAATGGTCAGCAACCAGGGCAGGTGGGGCTGGGAGCCTAAAGTGCTGAGGATGGAGGATGGAGTCACTGAAAATTTGGACTAATGTGGTGACTTCTACCAAAAAACTATCTTGGCATAGAGTAACTCCAGCCTCCTTCTTCATGTGGCTCCTTAACAGATGATGGGAAGTAAGATGTGTTCTGAGATTTTCACCCATCCATCCATCTGTTCATCCATCTACCCATCCATCTATCCATCCATCTACCCATCCACTATCCATCTGTCCATCCATCCATCCATCCGTCCATCCATGCACCCATTGTGGATTCAAACACTTGTTGGAGTCTTCCTTGGGGTTAGTTGAAGATGAATTAGGAAAATGCACTTCCAAATCTAGAGGAAGAAAACAGACTTCCAGTTAACTATATCACCAAGCAGGTACTTAGATCCATTGTTGCCTTGCAAAAGTGGCTACTCGAGTGTCACCAACATTCACCACAGCTTGACAAGACCAGAGCATGAGTTCATATGTATTTTACAGATAAGAAAATAGTAATCGGGGTTTATTTTATTAAACCAGAGTCTTCTTCTTTGAAAATGATAGAGGCAGAATTAAACCCCAGGATCTTCTCAGCATATGTGTGCTGTCTTTTCTCTGGAGTGTGATAAAAATTGCAAACACAGAATTCACTCACCATGGCGAGAGGAATACTCCAAATGGAGAAACTTTGAAAGGCTTCATGGAGATAGATGTGTAAGTAAGATTTGAAGGA